GAGGCAGAAAGACCGCCTGTTCAAGGTCAGCCAGGGTTACATAGTAAGTTCAAGTCTAGCCTGAGCTACTTGGTGAGATCTCGGCTCAACAAACAAGCAAACAAATCCAAACCAAAAACCACAAGAAAACAGGAGCTTGGTACGGTAAAATACTAGAGTAAAATGGGAAACACCACTTAAGGACTAAATCCAGTCTGCACTGATGTGTTAAGCAGCTGAAGGGATCTTACTCCTTTATGGAAGGGAGCAGCAAAACAAAAGTCCCACACCCGAGGGCTCACAATCTAGCTCACAGCACAGAAGAATGCACCTAGGACAGAATGGGACACCACAGATGCCTGGCGAAGGGCAGTACCACAGTCCCTAATCTTCTGGCACGATGATTCTTCCTCCCTTTGTGTGACAGAAGTTACTCTTTGGAGCCTTATAACTGAAAATGATAATGAATGGTCAAAGAGCCACTCAATTCAACATTTTCTTATGAGTTCCTATTTCATTGATCACAACATTTATAGATACTGGGGGGAAAAGGACACGCAAGCTGCAGCTCATGATGAACCTGCGCTAGGGACCCCGAGGTGTCTAGTGGGCAGCACGCACGCATGCTCTCGCTCGCTCCGGCGCTCTCTCGCTTGCTCTTTCTCTCTTACTACCTACAGACAGCAGGAATCCCTGGCATGGGCTCCTCCTAACAGTTCCATACGAAGATACAAGTTAGATCGCATCCTACTAATATAGTCAATTTAATAACAGTTAACTAAGTACACATTATAATAAAAACAATGCTCATAAAAACAGGTAAATTGGGCTTGAGGTACAGCTCAGAGATGGAGTGTTTACTTAGCACATACAAGACCTGGGGTTTGATTCCTAGCAACACACACATACATATACACACCTTTTTTTTTTTTAAGGGAATAAAAAACGAACAGAACAAAGCACAACAGTGAAAACAATATTGGATTTCAAAAATAAGATGGAAGGAAATCCCTTAGTAGACATTGTTATCCTACAAACAGACACTCCGACCACCAGCTCTAGGCCTGCAAAGTCAATCAGGCAACACAAGAACCAAGTTGTCCCTTTACTTCAGTTGCCATCATTTCACATACATCTCGGCCTGTGTTCCTCCAGATCAGTCAGCTGCTGGCAGGGAGCCACGGGAGGGTGGGCTGGCTTCTTGGTTCTCCTCCCAGCCTGCATGGCTACCACTGGCTCACAGCAGGGCTGGTGGGCCACACATTCACTTTTTAAAGGTAAATAACCTAGCCAGGTGTAGTGCCACATACCTGTAATCCCACTACTCTTGAAGGATAAGGCAGGAGGATCTCAAGTTTGAGTCCAACCTGGGCAATTTAGTGAAACTTTGTTTCAAAAAAATGAAAGAGCTGATGCTCAGTGCAAAAGCCCTGGATTCAATCTGCAGTACTGCGAAGGAAGGAAGGAAGGAAAGATGGAAAGAAAGAAGGAAAATAAAGACAGACAAGAAAAAAGGGATTTCCTGGGCCAGGGATATAGCACAGTGGCACAGCACCTGCCTGGCAAGTGCAAGGTTGTGAGTTTGATTCTGGATACCAAAAAAAAAAGGGTCTTCTAAGAATGTGCAATGCCAAATTCCACAGACAAAAAGAGGACAAGAGCAGCAAACTAATACGAGCAGGGGTAAATGGCAGTAATCCCAAGTCCTGAGGCCCGCCTCTGTAGCAATGCTGGGGAAAGAAGAGGACAGTAAACATGGCCCAAAGTTGAGACCTGCATAGTAAAGAAACTCACCTTCCACGCACAAGCAGTCTTGAAGACAGCACTGCTCCTTAAGAGCTGAGCTCCAGATCCCTGCACACCTTGAGTCCAATTTGGAACCCGGCGTCACTGGCCTGCAGCTCAGCTTCCTCAGGCTGCAACTCCTGCTGTGCGGCAGACCTGGGGATGGACACGGGCAGTGGCAGAGCACTTGCCCAGTGCACATGAGGCCAGAGGTTCTGTCCCCAGCAAAAGAAAATGTGTGTGTGACATTAGTGATATTAGTGTTGAAATCTGATGCTACATAAGAAGTGAAAAATAAAACTGAAGAGCTTGTCTGCCACTGTAAGAAAATAGACACAATTCTGAGACTTCTTTATCCAACTCCCAGAGGGGCATCTGGCCAGCTGGAACCAGGGTCAGGAAGAAGATCCTAAAACTTGTCTCTGTAGCTGCTTGGGTAAGAGACTTAAAATGCTATCCACTTTCAACTTACAGCCAACAGCGCAAAGGAGGCTAGAGGAGAAACAGCCTGACCCCACATCTTGCCAAGCAGAGCAGAGTGGGTGTCGAAGGGCCGCAGAGGAACCAGGGCCTCCTGACAATGCATTCCCCCAAGAGGCTGCAACTGACCCGCTGGCTGCAGCTCCACACACTGAGGATAGCTGCCCAGAGTCCTGTTTATCTACGGTCTGTGCTACTGTGCCAGGAGGGGGCAGGGACAGGCCAGTGACTCCTGGCTGCTGAGCTACAACAGAAGGCGAACCCAGGGCAGAGCGGACCAGGCAAAGTCTGATTAATAATTAGACACTAGCCACACAGAGTGCCTCTTTCTTCCCTGACCAGCTCTGACTGCTTTTGCAGACATGACTTCACTGGGCCCTCAGGTTCTCTATTGACACATTTTCCCAGGAAACTCCTGGACAGCAGGCCCAGGACTCACAGCGGGCTGAGACACCGCCTGCAGGAGCAGTCAGTGAGAGGCGACAACTGGCCTGCGGCTCCTGGCCGCCCTGGCCAGCAGCACAGGCTGGTGCTCAAAATGATGCCGAAGAGTTTAGGAAAAAATGAGTACTGTACCCCAAAGGTCCCAAAATTAGTGTCGAATTCCACAGAACAGAGTAATAGCCTTGTCTCATCCTCGTCACAGATTGAAAACCCAAGCTGCCTCATGGCATCTCTAGGGCAAGCCATAAAAGGTACAGAGAGGGGAAGGAAGAAGGGAAAAGGACAGAAAACAGCACATGTATTTTGCCAAGATTAAAGAAATTTCCATTTTTATCTCTAGAGGAATACCACATGGTTCCACAAGGCCTATGTGTTCCACAGCGACCAAAGCAGCATAATCAACAGGATAAATCTGGGCTCACTTTGTATTTCTTTTTTGTCCCAGTACAGCAAAGTACTGATACCTACTGCACTCCAGGCACTGAGCTGGGTCTAAACCCTGAACTCCCATGTCTCCTATGCCCTAGAAACGGAAGCACAGAGGTGGACACAGTTATTAGTATTTAAAATGTCTCATGGACAAACCAGATTCATACTTAGACATAGTGAAAATGCCCATTGAGATAAAGAACAGCAGCACGTAAGAGATACTTCAAGGAGGCCCCTTTGGCATGGGTGGTGAAGTAGCAGCTCGCCTGGCCCTGGACGGAGGTACCAAGTGAAGGCGGGAGTTTGATCCAGGGGCAGGAGACGTGTGCAGACTGCCAGGTGAGATCGGCCCTGAGATCGGGGGTGGTGGGCAACCAGGGCAGGCTGGACATCTTCCGGGTTTGCATTTCAGGGCCTTGCTTTTTCCTGTGTCCTCAGTAGCTCAAGTTCAATGCCTTCCTCAAGGTACACATTAAAAAAATACATGCTTCTGGCAAGCATGAGGTCCTGAGTTTGATTCCTGGTACCAAAAAAACCATGTTTGTGGAGTATGCCCATAATCCCACCTACTTGGGAGGCTGAAGCAAGAAAATCATTTGCGCCCAAGAATTCAAGACCAACCTGGACAATATAGCAAGATTTTGTCTTTTAAAAAGAAGGGAAGCAGGGAGGGAGAACAGGAAGGAGAGGAAGAAAAGAAAGAAAACACAGGTTTAACCATACTCCAATGACTACTAAACAGGCACAGTAGTATGCTTGTAAACCCAGCATTCTAGGAGGCTGAGGCAGGAAGACTGAAAGTTCAAGTCTGACACGAGCAATTTAGCAACTTAGTGAGACTCTGTCTCAAAATAAAAATAAAAAATGGGCTGGGGATGTGGCTCACTGCCTCGGTTCAACCCCTAACACCAATACACACAAACACACAAACACACACACACACACACACACACACACACACACATTACCAGTGGCTAATTAATAAGCAAGGCAATAATAAAAATCCTAGCCCTCAAGAACCATATATTCTGGTTTGTAAAAAAACAAATTAGATCATCCTACCCCATCCCCTGACAATTATATGCAATTGACATAATATATATCCTGATCTAATAATTCCAGGGAAAAGGGTGGCAACAGGTTCCCCAGAGAGGGTGGAGATTCCAAGCAGAAGCTGAAGCACTGGGAGGATGCTGAGCCACATGGGCGGTGGGGGGCAGCGGTGGTGGAATGTTCCAGCAAGTGTGCAAACAGAACAGCGAGGCACATTTGGGAGGGGCACACAGGGGCATTGGGGCCCACCCTGAAATGCTCAGTGTCTATCCCAGTGGCAGATCCCAGGAATTCACCTTCATTCCTCATCCTTGCTTAGAGACCCCTAAAAGAGCCCCCAGAGACAACAGCCCAGTGGCCACTTTGAGGGGGTAAGAAAAGGAAAGGGGAAGATTGCCTCAAAAAGAGGAGCAGTAACCGAGGTCTCTGGAGCTTATTCACTGGGATAAAAAGTTAAATGCCTGCCAGGCATGACAGGGCATGCCTGTAAACCCAGCACTTGGGAGCATGAGGCAAGAGAATTACAAGCTCAAACCTAACCTAACCTGGGCAACTCAAGTGCCTAAGTGATGCCCTGTCTCAGAATAGAAAATGTTAAAAGGGCTGGGGATGTAGCTCAGTGCAAAAGCCTGGGGTTCAATGAAGTACTAGGATACCGTGAGACATGGGAGAAGAGGGAGACGCTGAAGGAAAAAATGTAAATGCTAAGGATGAAGGAAGGGGGAGGGGTCAAGATGTTGTAGTATTATGCAACCAAAATTCCAGTCCTATGCCAGAAAATTCAAAGGTCACAGTTCCCACAGCAACTGTAACCTGACCCACCAGTGTATGTAGTCCTTGGCAGTGCCAGACCCAAGCAACCCTCAGCGCTCCACACTCGCTGGGCAGCCCACGCACCCCACCACAGGCTGCTGCCCACCGCCCCATGCCAGCCATGGGTGCCCATATCCCTCAACTGCCGTGCCACAGCTCACCTTGGCTACCCAGGCGTGGTGTCCTGGGGCCCTTGCTGTGCTCTGCAGGCGCTGATCTTTTCAGGTGAGTTGGACCCCAATTCACACATGCTTACTGAGGGTTTGTAATTTTAACTCTTGTGTGCTGACTTACCCTGCAGTGGCTGGTGGGCTAGGTGAAGAAAGGAGAAGAGAGAAAAGGGAATTGTGTGTGGTGGGTGACAAGGCTGCTGTCATCCACTTCTCGCAAATTGCCTGGTATCCCAGCACTTGCCAAGCCTCGCCACATGGGGGGACACAGGGCAGGGCAAGAGGGGTGGCAGACAGAATGCTCCCGAGTGGGTGGGATTTTTGCACACAGGAACTTGTTTCTAAAGAATATGTAACGAGCACAAGTTCTTCCTTGAGAAGGTCTAAGACTTGGGCTGGGTCACCCAGACCTCGCATACCTCTGAAAGTGCAAGAAGGGACGACACCTCGCATCATGATAGTCACAATGGGTGGAAGGAAAGCTGGAGTGGCAGTGTGGGGTCCGAGCTGGGCACAGTGGCACACACCTGTAACCCCAGCACTCAGGAGGCTGAAGCAGGATCACTGCAAATTCAAGGCCAGCTACTAAGTGGTAGAAGAAGAAACTAATCCAAGGCAGTCTGATTCTACAGCTCCCACCCTAAGTCACAGTCACATCCATGTTCACTGTGACAACCTGTCCTCCCCAGGAACAAAGCAGGCCCCGAAAGTGACTCCAAGAGTGAACGCTTTTGAAAGAACCACCATTCTCAAGTTGATCTCACCACAAAGCAATAAAGAAATGGCCCTAGAATCTGCATCCAGGATGTCATCACATCCACTGCCTTTCACTTGACAGAACCAGCTCCAACCAATTGGAATGCTAAACCACGCCTCATCTCAAAACTACATTTGCTAAAAAACAGTCCAAGCATTCTGATGCCTCAAGGCTCATAATGAACAAGCCTGGGATATTTTTGATTGGCGGTGCTGGGGCTAGAACCCAAGGCACCACACATGCTAGGCAAGCCCTCTACCACGGAGCCACGTACCGACCGCAGGGAATTATTTAAATCATCATCTAGCCTATCTGATTCACCTCCTGTTTAATAAACTCCCACAGCTTCCTTGCACTTGCAAAGACAGAACTCACATCCTCCATTCCTCCTTACTCAGGTTTCCTCTCTGCAGGAAAGGAATGCACGTTCGGCCCCACTGCACTCCCCCTTCTCCTCAGCCACATCACTCATACTCACTTGTCCAGATTACACGCAGAGAGGAAAATCCAACACGTTTGCTTATCCCAATTTAGACATGGAAATACCTAATAGAGTACTAAATGAGAGAGAGACTGAACAAATGAGGCTCTGAAACAACACATCTGCAAGTCATGCAAGTGCATCCCCAAAAGGAAACCCAGCCTTCCTATCCAGGAGTGAGTTCTGTGACCCTGGACAACAGAGCTCTCCCCTCACCCACTCGTGTCCCCTTTCCTATGGGATATGAGATGGGTGACCGGGCTCAATGGAGATAGCGAATCAGATAATCACAGAGCATGACTGTGAGAGTGAGCACGGTCATGACAGGGCCACCCAACGGGACAGTCATGCCTGCACTTGTGATGGAAGCCAAAGGGCATGTGTAAAATACATCTGAGGGCCAGGCATGGTGGCACACACCTATAATCACAGCACTTGGGAGGCTGAGGCAGGAGGATCGTTGTGAGTGGCTACAAGTGAGATCAAGACCAGCCTGAACTTCATAGTGAGACCCTGTCTCAAAAAGACAAAAATAAATAAATATGTTGAGGGATCATGGGAGGAGGTGTTTAATTTTTCACTTTAATAACTTGCCCTTATAAACCAAGAATGCATGTTCTTGTTATTAAGTTCCATGTAATTTACTAAAGTAAGTAAAACTGAAAACCTCATTAGGTAACATTAGAGAATTAAGATTACAGTAAGAAATGACAATGCAGGGCCAGGGTCTTATTAGCTCAGTGACTCAAGCACTTACATGGTAAGCGCGAGGTCATTAGTTTGATCCTGGGTACAAAAAAAAAAGAAACAAGAATGCTCCATTTTCCTGGCTTGTGCCTAAATATAACCCTATTACACTCACACCTAAATTCTAGCTATTCCCAGACCCCCGCCCGTGTATTTCATAGCCATCAGTTTATGCCTGGTTTGGCATAAACAGATAGAGGCATGGCAAATAGTCTGTTTTAAAGAGTTTTTTAATTTCTGCTGACAGAATTTTCAGTTTCTAAAATCTAACACAGTGATCCAACTAAGTTCTGTGTATTAAAGAGTTACAAGGTGTTATCAACTATTATTAGAAACTAACATCATGAAGAAAGTGAAAGACAACCCAAAGAACAGAACAAAATACTGTATGTATCAGGTGTGATTTTTAAAAAATGAATCATTAAGTGGGCAACGCAGTGCATGCCTGTAATCCTAGCACTTGGGAGGCTGAGGCAGGAGGGTCATTGTGAGTTTGAGACCTCCTGGGCTACAAAGTGAGCTCAAATTCAGCCTGAACTACACAGCAAGATAAATATATCAAAATAAAATATAATAAATCAAAATAAAATAAAGTATGTACCTTGCATGGTCATTTTGACTTTAGGGAAGAGTCAGAAATGGGCCAGTGCCAGACTGGCGGATGAGGGTGCCCTGTCATGTTTCATAAGCCTGCCCTTCTGTTGGATGACAATGGGCAGCAATGTCACTGTTTTGCGTTTTTTTTTAATTTTGATCCATCTTATGATACTGACTAACGAGGATTCCACAACGGTTCCAGAAAGTGCTCAGAATGAGGAGTACCGGGTTTCTAAAATTGGTTGTGGCTACACAACCACTGAACTGTATAATTAAATGAGTGAATTATACGGTATATGAATTATGTAATAAAGCTACTTTAAAAAACTCATGTCTAAGGGGCCGGGGATCCGGTTCAGCAGCACAGTGCCTGCCTGGCAAGCGTGAGGTCGTGAGTTTGATTCCTGGTACAAAAAAAACAAAACAAAAAAACCCCTGATGTTTCAAGTATCACTGAATTTTTGTCAGCAACACAGGGCCTGGTATATCACAAGTACTCAATAAATATTAGTTTTTAAAAAATAGAGGTATTGAGTCTTTGATGATTTCCCACAGCAATTTCCCACTACCTCCAGTGATCTCTGCCAGACAGTTCCCACCCAGCGAGGGCAGCACACCCCACGACGTGTCGGCCATCCCTGCCCAGTGTCTTCTCAACCTGATGTGACCCTACTATTAGCAGAGGAAAGCAACATCTGTTCCTGAAAGTATCTTAAGCCCAGTTCTTGAAGAAGAGAAAAATATATATATATGGATTGCTCCCTCTCCAGCAGTCTGGAACCAGGCAAACTCAGCACTCAAACAACCACGCAATACTTCAGGGCAGCCAGGTGTGGTGGTTCACACCTGTAATCCCAGAAGTTAGGAGGCCGAGGCAGAGTTTGGGGCCAGCCTGGGCTACCTAGTGAGTTCCAGGACAAAACAACAAAAAACCTTCAGGGCAGTAGATGAATAGTAAAGTTAGGAGACCACAGCAAGGGCCTTGGGCAGTGGTGGGGATTCTTCTGGGGCCTCTAAGTAAATTATTGCAAACCATAGCCCTGCTCTGGCTTGAACGAGGCCGTCCCACTTCCAGGTCCAAACTGCTTCTGCCAGCAATTTGTTCACGCCCACCTTGCACTACTGCTGGCTGTGCACAGCTGGTTCCCCATATACAATGTTTTCCGAGTGGACAAGGACAACATAATCATTTCTAGCTCCTTGAAAATCATTTGCAAAGTCCTGCACACAGTAAGTGGACAATTCGTAAGTAATGAATTTAAGTTTTTACTTCTAACTCTTCCATGCACACATGTGCATCTCCTTCTGGCAATCTAAGTGTCTATGGCAAGTGAGTAGCCAAGGCAGAACCCCTGGGATCCAAATGTGAATTTCACCAATCTACTAGCACCTACGCTGGCCTACACCCAGCCTTTTCTCTAGAGCTGCCACCTCGTTGCCTCTTATCATTACACTGCAGTAACAGCAGATGCCTGTGTCCCTGGTCCCTCAGCAGTCTGCAGGCTCCTCCCAGCCTCACCCAGATGCTGTTCCGGCTTAACTCGGCTCTCCCCTTCTGGTCCCACTGAGGAAACACCTTTTCAGGCACTCTCACTGGACCAGTGCCCTTTCTGCCTTCCCCCAGACACTGTGGCTCCAGGAGGACGGCACTGAGCTCACGTGCTGGCATGCTATGAGACATATGCCTGCTTAACAAACTGATGCGTGTGCTACCATGTCATATATGTTTTATCAATTTTACTTAGGTAAAAGAGTCATAGCAAACAATAAGCAATACTCTTTACTGTAAATTCCAGATAGCAAATTCACTCTTATCAAGTGCTTTCACAGATTATTTGTCTCCTTTGGGGTTTTTTTTTTGCGGGGGGAAGATCCAATTTTTGGCCAATCTATGATGCCACCGACAAATGAGTAAATGCTGGATGATACTTTCATTAAGACAAAACTGCAGACTGGGGATGTATGTACAGGAACTTGGTAGAGTGCTTGCCTAGTACCCACTGGTTCAATCTCCAGCCCCAGAGGGAAGGCGGCAGACAAAAAAGGAGGGTGGCACATGCCTGTAATTCCAGGACTTAGGAGGCAGCGGCAGGACAATCTCTGAGTTCAAGGCCAGCCAGGTTACACAGTGAACTCAAGGCCAGCCTGAACTACACAGCAAGATTCTGTCTCAAACTCAGAGACAGAGACAGAGAGACAGACAGAGACAGACACATAGACAGAGATAGACACAGGAGAAAAAGAAAAGAGAAAAAGTGATATAAGGTCAACAGTGCTGAAACATAGCATGAACAGTTTCTAGTTTTCATAGAATACACTTTTGTGCTAATCAAAGTGGCTCCAGACAAAACTATGCAAGTGTAAGCTGCAGTGGCAACATTTATTCTTCCTCTCCTTAGAAAACCAACCGTGAACTGGGTTCTGGGTATGAACCAGCGATGGCAAGCTTTTCAGAGCTTTCAATGGTACAAACTGCAGCACGCATGTGTGGATTTGTCAGCACTGGTATGTATGGCTCCCCTACAGCTGGTGTCAAGCCACCAGCTTGCACCTCTGAGCAGACACAGCTGGCAGGACACAGCGCAATGGCACACAGAATTTCCACCACCGATGCGATAGCATTCTTGTGGTACCACAGGAATGAGGAAGGCATGAGTTCTGCACATCATGACCCTTGTCTTTAGTAACATAACAAGCCCCTGACTCAAAAAAAAAAAAAAAAGACTAGGGATGTACTTCAGTGTGGAGGAATTAGGTTCAAACCCCAGGACCCACCCTGACACGAAGACTCCCTTATGTGGCCTGAATGCCAGAAAGAAAAGTACAAGGTACCATACAACACTTTTTTTTTAAAGGGAGGGTTTGTCTTGCTTTGTTTTGTTTCTCCTGTTAAAACTCATGCATGTGTAGAATCTATAAACAGTTTATGAGAACTGATCTTATGACACATGATGAAATGAACAGATACTTTGAAGAAAAAGAGACTCTAAAGTACCCAGTGCTGATCCTGGAGTGTCATAATGTGAAACCCAGCAATAGTATTATTCTTTGTTCAAAGTGATATTAGCCTGTTTGGGTTTATTCAGGCTTAACATAATTGAAGATATGGATAACTGCATGTATGTAAGATTGATAACCATATTTCTAAGTTTTTGTTGGATAGTTGAACAGAACTGGTTGCCATCTCACTGTTTGAATCCCCACTTTATATGCTCCACTTTAGTATTTTAAATAACTATTTGTAAGAAAACAATCTGTAGTTATCAACTAGTGATTTCTTACTGTTTTTCTTTGAAATTATGAATTCTACCCATTTTCTGTTTTGTTTAGTCTTTCTTTAAATTAAAAAAAAAAAAAAAAGATACTACAGTACCCAGTGCTGATCCCGGAGTGTCATGATATGAAATCCAGCAATACTATTATTCTTTGTTCAGAATGATTTTAACCTGCTTTAGTTTGTTTGATCTAAATATAAATCAAGATATGGATAACTGCATGTATGTTTAAGTGTATAGGATTGACAACCATGTTACTAAGTTTTTGTTGGACAGTTGAACAGAACTGTTTGCAGTCTCGCTGTTTGATTTCCCACTATACATGTTCTATTTTTGTATCTTGAACAACTATTTGTAAAATGACAATATATAAACATTAACTAGTGATTTCTTACTGTTTATTTTTTTCTCTGAACGTATGTATTATTTCTATCTATTTTCTATTTTGTTTAGTCTTTCTTTAAATAAAATTTTTTTTAAATGGGAGGGATGTCTTTTAATGCTTAGCATACGCTCAAATATGATAAATTTGATACTTTACCCACAAAAGGAAAGAACAACTGGGATAGGGAAAAGGCGAAAAGGAAGAGGAAATATATATATATATATACATACACACATATATGCACAAATGCGCTCATACAAGATAGCTAAGATAATTGTACTACTCATTCTATTAGTTCATGGAAAGGAACAATTAGTGCTTATATTGCCTGATCAATTTTGCATGCCTATATATGGTAATCTGAGCAACTATTCTAAAGACAACAATCTGCAATAATAACCACTGTTAATTTCCTATCATCTTGTTTTTAAAATTTTGTGTCATTTTTATTTTTTTTCTCTTTAAAAAAAAAATTCATAGCAGCTGGAAAGTAGAATTAGAAAGGCTTCAACGATTCATAGGGTGTTCCTTAAAGCTCACATGTTTTGCCTCCTGATCTGAAAGAACAGAGCCCAGCAAGTACCCCAGGCTCTACAGGGCACCAAGCTGGCAGTGATGACATCAAGGACTCGCCTGTTCTACCACCTTAAAGTGGGCTCCGCTTTCCTGTTTCTTTTTACACTGCTATTGGTAGCCTCCTTTCATTTTTCCTTCCTTGATCTGCACATCCCCCAGTCTCTATAAATCCTTTCTGCAGCCGCAGGTTGGTCCTGGTCCTTGGTTTCCATCATTCTCCCTACTCACTAACAATTCCTTAGGAAAAAAATCTTCAATGCTTCCCACCACAGTAACTGTAACCACCACAACAACTCCTAAACCTGTTCCATCCCTACTATGCTGGTGGATCAGGGTTGGACCTGGAACCCAAGGGGCACTTCTACCACTGTGCTAAGTACTCTCAGAGTCAAGGTCTGGCTATTTATGGTTCAGTCTGGGCTTCAAATTATCTTCCTGCCTCATCCTCTCAAGTAGCTGAGGTTACAGGTATGCACCACACCCAGCACCATCTGTTAGCTTCATGATAAGCCCTAACATCCACCTCTTGATATCCATCACTTCAGTGTCCTTCAATGCTTAAGCCTCAGACAAATACAAGCATGTCCTGCCCCTGCTCTGAGAATCAAGGGTGAGATGCTATCCAGGTCAGCCAGGCTTCTTGATGTTCTACAGACCGTAGTGTAAACAACAAGAGGAGGTGATGCTCTATCTTCTCAAGCATAAACTGAAACTGATCTGCTTCTCACATTATATGTATTGCTCCCTTCTACAAGGCAGCGGGGCTCTGAGCGGTGTTTGAGGACACTTCCCCTCCCTCTCCCGACCTCATCCTGTCCCAAACTACGCCTGCCCAGGACCCCACCTCCCCTAGGTCCACACCTCTTCCCTTCCCGGTCACCATCTTGTTCTTGTCTCCCTGTCGTGCCCCAGTGGGAAGCATTCTGAACTGCCTCCACGGGCCCTCCTGGCCCCAGCCCACCATGTCTCCTCCTCTGAAAGAAGCTTCCATCCTGGACGAGTGTGGCTCAGTGCTGCTGCTCTTACCTAGCACGTCCCAGGCTCTGGGGTCTATCCCTAGCAGCACAAAAGTACAATAAAAATAGAAATCTACTGAGGTGCTCTATCAAAACCTGAGAATATTCATGTTCCCAGGAAGTAAACACTGAGGAGTTCATGAGTATAATACAGTAAGCTAAGAGGACAATATAATATCTAACTAATAAACAGCGCCAGGGGAAGAAATTCAAAGAGAAGAAAAAACATAAAAAAGTGAGTGGGCAAAATGCAAGCAATCTGTGCTTCTTAGTGAATTATAAACAGGAGTATTATCAGTCTTGCACTTGTCTAAAATTACAACAAAATAAAGTCATCCCTGCCCCTAAAATAGTCCCAACCCTCTCCCTAGAATCCAACTTTGACAAAAGTAGACGCTTATGAGCTACCCGAGCAGCTGGGCTGGGCTGGGTCCACCTCGGCCTCCCTTGTTGTTGTCCTTCTGCCTTCACCTGGCCTCAGGATTTGCCCAGCTCCTCCCTGCCAGCCCACTTCCACCCTGCCCTGAGCCAGTCCTGACTCACTTCTTCCAGGGCTACTGCACTGTGGAAGGAAAAGAACTCACACTCGCGGACCATCTGCCGCCAGCCAGGCGTGGCACTGACCGTCCACGTTTCCAGCTGACCCTGCTGCCCATGACTAGGACGGCACGGCACTGTTAGCACAAGGGACCCCAGTGGGCACTGCCTCTCACAGCACGCCCCACGCCTCACAGCACCCTGCCTGCTTTTTCCAGGCCAGCTCAGTCTTGGTGCCTGTCCCGAATGGTCGGGATCTGCAGAGAACAGAACAGATGATGCTCACTGACCTCATGAAGTTTCCATCTTCGTGGGAAGAAAGAATAACAGCAGCATTTAGCTGGGTGTAGTAGCACACACCTGTAATTCTGCCACTCTGGGAAGCTGAGCTAGGAGAATCGCAAGTTTGAGCCAGCCTGAGAAACCTAGCAATTCAATGACATTCTGTTTCAAAATAAAAAATGACCAAGAGTAGTGGCAACTCCTATAATCCCAACACCCAGGGGAGACTGAGGCAGGAAGATCTCTTGAGTTCAAGGCCCACCTGAGATACATAGCAAGACCCTGTCTCAAAAAATAAACAGAGCCAGGTGTGGTGGTGCCAGCTTGTAATCCCAGCATGAGGGAAGCTGAAGCAGTAGGGCTATCAAGAGTTTGAGGCCAGTCTTGGCTACATAGTAAGTTTGAGGTCAACCTAAACTACATGGCAAAAAACAAAACAAAACAAAAAACACAAAAACTAGAAGGGACTAGGGATATAGCTCAATGAGCAAGGCCTGAACTCAATCCCCAACACTGGGTGGGAAAAAAAGGCTGTACATTTATCACACTTCCATAGCACTTGCTCTGTGTCAGGTGTTATGACAAGTATTTCATAAATATTAATGCAGTTAGTGCACATAAAAATTCTGAGAGTTGGGGCTGGGGATTTAGCTCAGCGGCATAAGCATCTGCCTTGCAAGCAGGCTGTCGTGAGTTCGATCCCCAGTACCGATTAAAAAAAAAAAAAAATCTGAGAGTTAGGCATTATTCTTACAAATGTAGAAATCAAGGTCAGAGAGGTTAAATAATCTACCCAAGGTCACAGAGGTAGGGAATGGTGAGGCTAAGACTAGACGCACAGTACTGTAGTCTGGCTGCAATGCCCTGGCTTCTAGACCTCCATAAACTCAGGTAGACTTCAGGTGCTAGCAGGTGGCGGGCGCTCTGGAAAAATAAAAAGCAAAGCAAGGTAAGGGATTCCAAGTACCCTGTATCCCAGGGTGATCCCAAACTCCTGGGCTCAAGCAAGCTCCCGCTTCAGTCTCTAAAGCAGCTGGGTCTCCAAGTGACACTACCATACTGAGCGCTACGCTGAGACTTCACACGGAGAGGCGCTAGGTTTTGTGGAGCAGACACCAGGCAGTATCCACGGTGAGGGATGCATCTGTACAAAGCCCTCAGGCAGGGATGGGCCAGGAGTGGAGGAGAAGCCAACCCGAGACCCTGGAACTCAGGAAACCGCGGGGAAGAAAGCACCGCCTCTGACCGCCTCTGACCGGATTCCACCTTTCCCACCTTTTCCGGTGTTCCCCAGCTGCTTTTTTATCTTTACCTTCATTTCCAAGGTGAACTGCAAACTCTGAAAGCCAGCCCTGGGACCTCTACCTCCTCCGCATGTCCTGGGACTGCTGAGCGGTATCTCCTGGAATCTCTCGGCCTTGCCTTGGGGACAGAGTGGCCAGCGGCCTCCGGGGCAGCCCAGTGCTCCCACCTTGGACCTCCTGCCTGAGTGGTGGGCCTTAACCTCCGTGTGTATTAAGAAAACTCCCATTTTGTTTCAAAACACTTCCGTCCAATGTCACACTCAAATTTCAGCCCCAGTGTGCCCCCTAAACTGGTTGGCAGCCAACAGCTCTCAACCTGACAAATGGCAAGACTATGTGTAATAACAGAATCAAGATTTTCTCATCAACACTGGGAGGCCATGGCATGCAATGCCACGCCCACCTGTGTCCTTCCTGACAGTCACCAGCCCTGTCCACACTGAGCACCGGGCACAACGGCCTGAAGTCTCTAGCGACTCCTGGCTCTTGGATTGCTTGGGCCATAAGAACAAAGGTTTTTGTTGCTGCTTTGGCTTTCAGTTTTCAGTGCTAAGGATGGAATGAATGTATGGCTTGCACATATAAGGCAAGTGCTCCGTCACTCAGCCACATCACCAGACCTTTTAATTTTATTTTGAGACAGAGTCTCAGCAAATTGCCCTGGCTGGCCTTGAACTTGGGACCCTCCTGCTTTGGCTTGCCAAGAAGCTGGGATTACAGGTGTGCACCACCACACCCTGCCAGACCAGGAAAGTCATTATCACTGAACACAAGTGGCGGCCCCAATCACATGTACAAAGACAAACATCTAAGTGGCAGAGAATTTAGCTCGGTACAATGATTCCCTGCACCCGCAGAGAAAAGAGCCTTCCCTGTACTCCTTGCTCATCATGTGCTGAATATTCAGATTCATGTCCCACTCCTCACTGAACCAGGCAAGCTACCCGTAAGGAATTACGGAGCATGCCTTCAGCCTTCCCCTAGTTCTAGTTTTATCTTTTAAAGTACCAAAAAGAAAATCCATCTTGACCCTAATTCCGGAATGTTAGGTTACGCTCTCATTTTATTTCCCAAATAAATCATTCAAATTTAATTTTCCAGATTGAGCCTGGGATGGGGGACCCCTCACATGGAAGAAATCATTTCCTATAGGCTGAGATGCTATGGAAGAAGAAAGCCAAGAGAAGACGCTGTTTGCAACTGTAACAGATCTCGGGGCTGTGTCTGTTTAGGAGACTAATACTCTTATGGAGGTGGCACAGGACAGCAGCAGGAGCTATGTGACCC